GTGTAAGAAAAATGCTGGATGATTTGGGGAAAGTAATGAAGAATTTTGAATCCAGAGCTGAGTTCACCGAAGATTTGCAGAAAATAAGTGGTGTAAGATATATATTTCACAGTGCCCAAAGGCATTTTAGAAAAGTAGTTCAGAGAATGTAATTATATAGATGGGGCTTCTCTTCCCTGGCATTCTTTATTAGGTACAAGGGTCAGAAATTGGGGACATGTTTTGGACAGGCTGTAAGGTTAGTGTGCATCCCAAAGAGACACTTCCCTTAAGGGTCAGAATTGCATCATTTAAAAAGAATGAACAAGGGATATACAAGCTCGACATAAATCAATTCACCCTGTATCATGTTACAAACAGTTCCTGAAGTTTCTTTCGATTTGTGGGTCTGAACCAGTTTAGAAGAGCCCCTGGACTTCTGATATTGGCTGGAAATAATTGCCCACAAGGCGTTAAATGGCCATCTTGTAAAATAGACTTTATTTATTTATTTCTCCTACCAGGCAGCAGGCGATGTGGTTGATATCAGAGAAATCACAGAAAGCGGTGAGCTCGAAATGAAAGGTGCGTGTTATTTCTCGATCCTACTTTTGCAACGCAAGTTAGCTTGAGGAAATGCTTCTGTTCCTTTTATGTTCGGTATAATGCCGAAAATAATCTATTGCCACTTTAAAGTGGTGACCTTTGATGTGTTTGGTTAGGTTTCTGCAGAGGTTCACAAAAACCATAACATATATTCATGTATTTGCATATTCACAGTTAGCCAGTGACTGTGTGAATATATAGCCCATCCTAAATAAATAAAGCTTTTTATGAGGTTCTTTTAATTTTCTGAAGGGTCGCTGGACTTTCCTGCAAAATGTGTTAACGTTAGAGCTGTTCAAAATTGACTAGAGGTGAGTCCTTGATTAGCAACTGCGGTCATAAGCAGCCCCCAAGCGAAACTGTGACTGTGCTTATGATCCCAGTCCAGGTTTTTGTCGCTTTAAAGACCTGCGAGGAATTGGTCACAAAGTTACTTCATCACCGTCATAACTGCGAAAGTTACTAAATAAGGCCATTGCTAAACAAATACTACTGATAGAAGATATTGCAGGGACCTAGATGGCTTCAAAAAAAGGAACACCTTGAGTCATTTCTTTTGGATACTGTCCTGGTTGGTTCATTGCTAAAGTCTGTGCGTTCTATTTACAGAGAGTTATGTTCACCATTTTGATGGTCTATAAAAATCCCCTCTCTGAAATTTGAAAAAGTTGCTCAATCTTGGATTAGATGGGCCTTTTATTTTTATTTATTTGTATCCCGCCTTTATTATTTTTGCAAATAACTCAAGGTGGCAAACACACACAATACTCCTTCCTCCTCCTGTTTTCCCCACAATAAAAACCCTCTGAGGTGAGCTGGGCTGAGAGAGAGTGACTGACCCAAGGTCACCAGTTGGCTTTCATGCTTAAGGCAACACTGGAACTCACCGTCTCCTAGTGATTGGCCCAAAGTCACCCAACCGGCTTTCTTGGCTAAGGCCGGACTAGATCTCACAGTCTCCTGGTTTCTAAACTGATGACTTAACCTCTAGATCAAACTGGCTCTCTTTTGTTTGATCCAGGAGAAGGCAGCATCTTGTGATTAATAATGGACGGCACTGAATTCCCTCCCCATTGTCTCAAGTTACTGTTTTTTTTTTAAGTAATACAAGGTTTCCTATTTGGATAATAGCAACCCCTTATTTGTTTGCTATCACATCTCTGGTTTACTAGCAGAACTACACGAAAGCTTTAATAAAACCTTTGAATTGTCTGGTAATTATGTTTACCAAAGCAAACATCACAACAAAATACTTACTTAATTCTTCAGGAAAGCACAGAACTGCTCACAAACCTCATTCAAAACCAAAAATCTGTGCTTTTGAGGGGAATGTTGACGAGAGCAGAACAGATAAAAAACCCAATGGGGACTTAAAATCAGAAGAGGACGTTTGGGCCCGACTTGATGAACTGGAAAGGCAAGAGCAAATCCTCGGTGAACTCAGCAGGTACTTTAAGCATGGACTGTTGGAATTTCCAGAAGAAGGGAGAATATTTAGAAGAGAAGCTAAGCTGTAAATGGGTTTTCTCTTTGCCACTGAAGCAAGGGGAATCCTTAAATCCTAATAAGAATGGAGAAAGGAGTAATGCGCTTTAACTTAATAGAGTAGAGTAGATTAGGGTATGATATGGTAAGGTATGGTAGGATAGGATAGGAAAGGAAGAATGAAACCATGGAATACAGTAGAGTAGAGTAGAGTAGAGTAGAGTAGAAATAGAATAGAATAGAATAGAATAGAATAGAATAGAATAGAATAGAA